CTGTGGTGGGGAGCTGTGGGCTGTCAGTGAGTGGAGTCTTGGGGCGGGGAGTGAGGGGGGGCTTCCTGTGCCAGGGTGCCACGTGACACTAAGCCCTGCCATACCTCCCCAGGTCAGTCATGGCTCCTCCCTCTCTCTTGCAAACTGCATGACTTAACTGGAAAGGTGGCTGCTCCTCCTTCGGTCTACTCGGCCAGACCCCACAGTAGCCCACGCCCTCTGGACCAGCACCTCCAAGCTCAGAGGGTCTGCTTTTGTATAAGGACATTTTTTAGAGTTTTAGTTTATTTTCTTTCAATTTTTCATGTCTTCCTCTGTCCTTTAAAGAGCCACATGATTTCTGTTCACTGAAGGTCCCTTTTTAAATTTTTAGGTAGTATTGGAGGTTTTTAAAATAGATACATTCCTTTTCTTTCATTCCTATGAACTCACAATGGGAGAACGCCTGAGCCTGTGCTTAAATATTTTAATTCATTTTCTGATGGACATTCTCTGGGTCTCCTTTATGGTTATGCTTCCTTGGGGCATGGGGTGAAAGCATTGAAACAGATTTAATCCAGTGACTGAGATTTCCTCTACAGATGGTACGTATCTACTTTTTAAAATAAAGGAAAGTGAGAATGTCATTTCTTCTTGTTCTCCCCATCTGTTTCTTCCCCTTATTTCCTAAACAATTCAGCCTGAAAATCACTGGCCTAGGCAGTGCAATGTAGGTGCCCTTGGAGGAAAGACAGCCACAGAGGAACAGGGAGGAGTGTGGGTCCCCAAAGGGTAAGGAAGGTGTCAGCATCGGCAAGTGGCCCAGCGTGGAACCCAGGCAAAGTGAGGTGTCCACATAGATACCCACGATCATGCCAGTAATGGGCATCTTACCCAGTGGGAGGTGGCGGGTACTCTAGAAAGTTGAAACTTGAGTATGAGGAGGATAACCACACAGAGGGTGACCAGACATTTCGTGTCCCCTCAGATTCGGTGGGGGGATAATTTACATAGATCCGTAGGCCAGTGAGGGGTGCCATGAGGAGTGTGTCTACACAGGGCCTGTCTGTGGAGACTGCTGGAACCTGAGTAGAAGAAGGTGTCGATGTGAGGAGATTCCCCAGCATGGCGATGCCCGGTCCTGCAGGGGGCAAAGCCGATTGTCCACATCGAGGGGCAGCTGGCAGAGGTGTCAGAGCCTCAATGGTACCAAGCTGGTGTGTACATGGGAGTTGGGTAGCAGCAGGGATGAAAGACTGGTCACAAAAGGAAAGATTCAACAGACAAGAAAAAATTTTAAGGATAGTTGGAGCCAGAGTAATGTCAGCTAGCCAGCAGAGGAGATAGCAGCCTTCATCCACAGATTAAAAAAAAAAAAAACAAACTATTCAACTGTTCACAAGCGAAAATAACCCTGGGGGGAGCTCAAGAGTCCAGTTAAGACCTATAGCAATCTAGTGAGGTAAAAAGTAGGGCTCATTATGCATTTGATCACTGGGGAGGTTGGCTTAGATGAGACATCTGGAGACAGAGCAAAGAATGGCAGGAGCTGTCAGGATCAGCCCCGCGGCACCGCTGCCACCACTCCCATGGCCTGCTCTGCAAAAGACCCTGATCACCTGTGCTACTGAGGCCTTGTGGGTTTCCCACAACTGCATAGCAGAGGACTCCACAGTGTTTATCCACACAGGCCCCAGCAGTCTGCTCCTCAGAAGACATTGGCAACTTTCACCATTGAGGTAAAAAACAGCCATAGTGTTAGAACCCTTGAAGAGGGAGACCTGCTATGCCTCCTGCCCCAGCCTCCTGTTACACCACCCCAGGAAGAAGGCTGCCCGTACACCCCATGGACCCCACGGGCCAAGCTGTTCTGCATGTGCCGCCACTTCAGATACTGGTGTTCAGGCCCCTTTGTCCACACCCATGTTCCAAGCTCTGGCTCTGGCCTCTCTGCACACCCCCAAGCTCCTGACTCCATCCCCTGGCCACCCTGCATGCACCCACATGTCAGACTCTGACGTCCACACTGTGGCCAGTGCCCAGAATCCAGAGCTGCTGTCATTAAAGTGTCCCTGTGCACAGACTCCAACCTCGTGGCTGCTTGGCAGGCAGCTGCGTCTCAAAACTGGAGCTGCTGCTGCTGCAGGTTATCCAGACCCCGGCCAGAGACGCGATGACTCTGTGAGCACTTGTGCCTTGGCTTTGGCTCTGTGGCTGCTCTGTACCTGCCTGCACCTCAAGCACCAGAGTCCTTATCACGGTGGGGTGCCTGTGAGTCAGAGCCAGAGCCAAAGGGGAGCTCTTCAGTCATGTCGCCCCCTGTGGGAGAGGGGAAGGGTTACTGTCCCAGCAGGTTTTGTGACAGAAGACCTAAACAGGCAGAGATTCACCACCGCAGCAGACACCCACATGCTTTGCAGTGAGGACCCACATACACTCACCTCAACTAATGGGGCTGCATGAAGACTAAGCCCGTGGGCTTTCCCTAGACCTAGAAGTGGCATGCCCCGCTCAGCTGGTGCCCTTGCATTCACTGTGGATAATCTTTCCTTCACCAAAATCTATCCTTTATGTCTAAAGGAAGTGACCGCTCCAGCAAATGCGGGCTATAGGAGGCACAAAAATATCGAGGAACTACAACCACCACCATCACCTCCATGACACTGTGACCACAATTTTTCAGTAACAAAGATATGGAGATTTGAAATTTCCATTTCAGACGTTCTTATATTTTAATTTTTAGCAACAGGAATACTATACAGTCAGGAAAAATCAAGCAAGAAGAGAACCAGAAGTTGGGGACAGGAGCCAAGGATAGTAGTCTGAGGAAACTTAAAAAAGATTCAGGAGGTTGATTTTACCCCCACTGCAAATAACTTCAAAAGTGTGAACATAAGAGTGACCAGCGGTTTTTCCATGGTCTTCTAAGGAGACATAGCCAGGATGTTCAGGCAACAACCAGCCAAGCCCAAGTTAGAGAGGAGGGAGCCATGAGGAATGGCGGGTGTGGGGCTTGACCATGGCCAGGGTGGATTGAGTCCAGAGTGCTGGTCACATCCACAGTCCCCTTCCAAGTGATTCTTCAGCAGAATCCTGTGGACTGAACTGGAAGTGGATGCCTGATGCCAGGACTGAAATTTAATGCAGAAATGGAGGAACGGAGATGGCTGATACCAACACTCTACTCATCAGACTGACAGTCAGTAAAAGAAGCCACTCTTGAGAACTTTTGACTTGATACAAGGAGGTTTCTTGGTTGACAATAGGGCCGGAAGCTGCAAGATGCCCCAACGGACGCGCTATGCAAGCAGTACAAGGGATGGGACACGGCTCGCAGGAGCCTTAACAGGAGCCACAGTCAGCTCATGGCTCCAGCGGCGGAGGGGACCCAGCATGCCCTCAGGCAGAAAAATGAACCAGTGTGGATTTCTGGAAGCACGAACACACATGCTGACCAGGGTCATATCCCATAGGACTCCCAGCACCTCCGCTTCACTTGGGGCTGCAGTTGCAGTCCTGTCTCTGAGTCTAGAAGCACAGCTCTCTGTGAGCACCCCCGAGACCAGCGGCACAGCGGGGCAGCACAGCTCTGCTTCTTACAGCACAGCCAGGCAGATCCTGCTTTGTGGGACCTGAAGCTTGTACAAATTGGGAGGCCTGCTTTAAGAAAAAGAACACAAAGCTAAGAAATCACAACAAAAGACACATTTTTAAAAGTTGGAAAATACCATAAAATAGCACAGTGTTTGCATTCGTTATGTCCCACCTCTGTAATAATTTTCCTACATTTTTAACTCATAGCCTTTGGTTACATCTTCATATGATGATTTGGCAATATCAATTTCTATAGAAACTTGTTTATTGCTAACATTCGGGATGCAGAAAATAGGTGATTTCTCAAGCTGACCGCATTCAGCTCACACTGGCTCTGCTGGGTGGTTCCCTGTGATCACGGGAATTCTGATAAGTTCTAGTTAACACACACACACACACATTCACAGACAGAGAAAAAATATGGCATGTTTTTAACTGTCTCGTTGCATTGCCAAGTATCTTCCTGACAAGACAGACATCGACAAAGACAAAATATTCCACTTGCTGTTTTACATGTCAGGTAGCAGGAGGAATCTTCTATAGAATATTTTGTCTCCAAACTGTGCTTCTCCTCCAGCAGCACTTCTGTCCCCACATTTCACAATGACCAGTGAAGGAGGCAGTAACTGTGAGTGCTCCTGGAAATTAGCAAAATGGCTAACAAGACTTTATTCCCAGGGCTGACTGTGAACCACATAGCTACCCCATTTAACTCAAGCTAAGTATATCCCAACTCAGCTTCCCCTTAGTCACGTGCCAAAAGAGGCTACAGACACGCTACCCTTCCAACAGGAGGAAAGCAGGGGTCAGAGTGGGGGAGGCAGAGGTCCTCTCTGATTGCAACCAAAATATCTTCCTTTCATAAATTCTACACAAAAGCACACTAACGCATGAAAACATGGTTCGGATCCCTCCCACATACTCTGACACTTCAGCTTCCAGAAATCCACACTGGCTCTGAGTAGTCCTAAGTAAAACCCCTTTCCTGAAGGAAAGCTGTGTGACTCTTTTCACTGCCAACAGCAGGAACAGGGCCTCCCATGGTGGCTCAGCGGTTGAGCACTGGGCTGCGAGGCTGCCTGCAGCCTCTGCAGCACCACTTCATTCCCCGGCCACCGGTGAGGGTCCCACAAAAAAACAAAACAAAACAAAACAAAAAAACAAAAAACAGCAGGAACAGAAATAAGTGAAGAGCAGGTGTGGAAAGAGCAAGACTTAAGATGACAGGTGGGCCTGAGAAAGAAACTGAAGGCATGAGATATGGCACCCTCCAAATGATAGAATCCATAGCTAAAGTGACCCCAATCCACAAAGAGACATAAGTCAGAGAAAAAAGAGATGTGGTTAAAATGTAGAGGGGCAGGACCTGATGAAGGGGACCCCAATGTGCAGGTGGGCGGAGTCTAATGATGGGGGGTGACTAACAGTTGAGGGTGGGGCTAAAGACTAGGGTGGCCTAGCTGATAGACAAGGACTGTAAAGACCAGGGCCATGGACACACAAAATATAGAAACGGCCCATGAAGGAGGCACGTGCCCAGCGGATGATGAGCAGTGTCTAAAGGTGAGTGGAGTGAGAGATGGAAATATGGCTGGGAACTAGAAATGAGATGGCAGGGTCCCCTGGGCCAGGCTCCTTTCCTCCCAGCACCAGAGGTGGGGATAGGAGTGACAGGGTACCCCACTGAGCATCTTTGTGTTCTTCCTTCCCCTGACCAGTTAGAGAAGGCAGCCATAAAGATTCAGTCATGGTGGCGAGGCAACGCGGTGCGCCAGACGTTACTGCACGCGGCGCTCAGGGCCTGGGTCATCCAGTGCTGGTGGAGGTCGATGCAGGCCAAGATGCTGGAGCAAAGACGGCGCCTGGCACTAAGACTCTACACCTGCCAGGAGTGGGCAGTGGTGAAGGTGCAGGCACAGGTTCGAATGTGGCAGGCCCGCAGACGGTTTCTCCAGGCTCGACAAGCAGCCTGCATCATCCAGTCTCACTGGCGCTGGCATGCCAGCCAAACCCGAGGTCTGATCCGGGGTCGCTATGAGGTCAGAGCCAGCCGGCTGGAGCTTGACATCGAAATCCTCATGACCTAGGGTGCTGGCAGAGCCAAGGAGACTGGATCTCTCTCCCAGTGAAGACATGTACTCACCACAATCTTGCCCTTTGAACATTAGACCCACAGCAGAGGAATCAACCCCTCGCCCTCCTGCCTTCCACCCCAAGAAATTTTTCCCTGGCATGGTCTAAATCCATTCCAGGGGGCCTCCCCTCCCTGGTGGCGTAGGGGTTAAGTTAAAAAATAAAATTAAATAAGTAAATCCATTCCAGAGCAAGCTACCTTCCCTTGCTCCTAACACCAACTTGACCAATCTTGCCTCCAAGAGAAAGGCCAGGCCCCACATTAGGCTCTGACATCTCCACCAGCCTGACCTCAGCTCTCTCCAAGGGGGAATGGCATTTGGCTTAATTTTCCTGCAGCACTTGCCCAGGCATCTCCATTCAGGGCAGGAGACCAGTCTGGCTGCAGCTGGAGCCAGCTGGGGAGGCCAGGACTTCACAGGCTTGAGCTGGGCAGGGCCCTCAGGACCAGAACAGCACTTGGCAGGGAGCCAGGAGGATAGGGCACCTCAGCTGAGCAACAGCAAGACAGCTGCCTCTGCGGGACAGCAAGCCAGAGCCAGACCCCCCGGGGAGGCCAAGGCGGGGGCTGAGGAGCAGCAGCTGTGCCCACTGCCTCCCTCTTGGGGGCTGACAGACAAGACTTCCCTCCCCTCTCCTGGTCATCGCTTGGGAAAACCAGGCACATGGCAGGGAAGCAAGAGAGAGCCAAGGTGGTCGGGTGCAGGATAAACAAGCAGCGGAGGGTTAGGGGTGGTCAGAGGGAAGGCTTGGCCCTCACTATTTGAGGTAATTGGTTTGGGGGGGGCAGCCTCTAAATCCTGCCACATCCTCAGAAGTGGCTATGCTGCTCTTTCCCCCAAAGCCCTCTCTCCCCCTCCACATTTACATTTAACATGCGAAAGGTAGAAAAAATAGAAAGCCAAAACTCAAATAAAGTGATGAGCTTATAGTAGAAGAAGGATCACTACCAAGGTCTTCTGGCTCTAAACCATGTCTTTAAACTCCCCTGAACTCTGAAGAAAGGCTTACTATTAAGAAAACAAGACAAAGCAAAAAAAAACTAGGCCCTTCCAGAGAGGTCCTGCAGGTTGCCAAGGGCAGCATGAAACTCTATCTCTGCCTAAAACAGAGTACAAAAAAGAGTAAGAGCATCTGTGAATAAACAGGTACAGAGGTTAAGTGGTGTGCTGGACACTGATGTATATGACCCTCAGAGCCTGGATCATTCAGGGCTTATAGCAGCTGATGGTGGAGAAGCCTCGGAGAAGAGAGTGGTTACATAAAAAATGCCTAGGAATGACCTTAGCAAGCAAATGAAGGAACTTTACACTGAAAACTATAAGACACTGATGAAAAAATAGAAAAAAAACACAAATAAATGGAAAGACATTCTGTGCTCATGAATCAGAAGACTCAATATTGTCAAAATGACCATTTTACCCAAAACAATATACATATTAAACACAACCTGCATTTTCTTCACAGAACTAAAACAAAAAATGCTAAAATTTGTATGGAACCACAAAAAACTCTAATAGCGAAAGCAATCCTGAGATAAAAGGATAAGAATATAGATATTGTGCCCTGTTTTCAAACTACAATACAGAATTGTGGCAATCAAAACAGTATGGTTGGAATAAAAACTGGCATATAGATCAAAGGGATAGAACTGAGAACCCAGATATAAAACTTTGTCATAACAACTAAGTTATGACAAAGAAAGCAGGATAATTAAGTGGAGAAAGGAAAGTCTTCAATAAACAGTGCTGGGAAACTGGAGAGCATCTTGCAAAAGAATGAAACTAGACCACTACCTTACATCATATACTAAAATTAATGCAAAATGGATTAAAGACTTGAATATACGACTTAACACCATGACACACCCAGAAGGAAACACAGGCTATAAGTTCTTTGACATTGACTTTAGCGATGTCTTTATGAATTTGTCTCCAACAGCAAGAGGAACAAAAGAGAATACAAACAAATGGGTCTACATTAAAACCAAAAAGCTTCAGCATAATGAAAGAAACTTGTTAAAACAAAAAGGTAAATACCAAATGGAAGAAGTTATCTGCAAACTGCAAGATTAAATCTTTTTTTGAAATTAAAAAAGATGAAAAAGATTGGCCATAAAAAAGATGAAGTCTTGGGCCTCCCCTGGTGGCACAGGCGGTTGAGCACCGCGTTGTGAAGCTGTCCACAGCCTCTGCAGTGCCAGTTCGATCCCAGCCGGCCAGCAAGGGTCCCACATGGAGCAGCAAACCTCTCCTGTCTCGCCCGCTGCTCCCCTCAGCAGTGTATTTCAGTCAATCTGCCTGTTCTGTTCCCCACTCTGTCTCTGGTGAGTCCTCTCACCCTCCCGTGCATCTGGCCTGGACCCTGGTTCTTGTATTAAATAAATAAATAAATCATAAAAAAAAATAGATGAAGTCTTACTACTGGTATGACAATGTGGATTGAAAGGATTATGCCAAGTGAAATATATTCAAATGAGAAAGACAAATACATTTGTGGAATAGAAAAGCAAAATGTACAAATAAAGCTAAAACAAAAACAAACCTTTAGACAAGGACAACAGAATGGTTGTTACCAGAGTGGGAAGACAGGAGGAAAGAGTAGAAGGGATTGATTTGTTGGGAAGGATAACGTCTGGACATTTGGTGGCAGATGTGATATGATATATAGATTCGCTGAGGTGAGAAATAACCCACCTGAAACTTAAACTGTGTTATAATGTTACCTCATTTTTTTTTCAAAAAAGAGATATAACCCATTAAAAGTGGGCAAAAATTTGAACAAATACTTCAAATAAAAAGAAAAGATATATGAGTAGCCCAAAGTACATGAGAAGATGTTTAGTATAATTACAATAGAAATATAAATTAAAACCACAATAAGATGCCAGTTAACTGGAGTTAAAAGAACTAACAGGTGACAAGGAGGTCCAATTTCCTTTTTTTTTTTTTAATTTATTTATTTACACATACAAGAACTGGGGTACAGGCCAGAGGCGTGGGGGGTGAGAGGATTCACCAGAGACAGAGTGGGGAGCAGAATAGGCAGACTGACCGAAACTGCTGAGGGGAGCAGCGGGTGAGTCAGGAGAGGTCTGCTGCGCCATGTGGGCTTCTCCCTGGCCGGGGATCGAACTCACACTGCAGTGGTTGAAGATTGCTTCATAGGTTGCGTCTTAACCCCCTGCGCCACCAGGGAGGCCCGGCAATTTCTAATAAAGTTTAAAATGACTCCATCGTTCTACTCAGGCATTATTACAGAAAATAGAAAACCTATGTGCAAAAAGACTTGTTCAAAAGTGCTCATAGTAAATATAATTATAATAGTTTTAAAAACTGGAAGCAATCTAAATAATGCATCAATGGGAGAACAGATAACCAAATTACCATATATTTGTACAATGAAATACTGCTCAGCAGTCAAAAGAACAAAGGTCTGATGCTCACAAAAACATGGGTGAATCACATAAACACACTAAGAGAAAAAAAGTCAAAACAGCAGAGTACAGTATGGTATGGTTCCATTTATATAAAGTTCTAGAACAAGAGGCAGTATGCTTAAAATGGGGTGGAAGTTGCTTTTCATATGAAATAAATGGTTAAAGCAGAAAAAAGAAGTTCTGGAACAAGCAAAACTAATCTCTGGTCATCAAAGTCAGACAATGGTTTTCTCTGGGAGGAGGTGATCATTACTGGAAAGGGCCCTAAGGGAACTTTCTACATCTAGATTTGGGTGTTGTACCTGGCTTCTATGTATATCAAAATTCACAGAATTTTACCTTTAAATTTTATGCATTTTATAATATATAGAAAACAGTAATTCTTTTAAAATCAGATAGACATCAGACTTCTCTACAACTTTATTCACAACTAGAAGACAATAGAGAAACGTCTATCAAGTTCTAAAGGAAAGAGTACAGACTCCAAAATACTAAAACCAGTTGAACTTTTATTCAAGTAAAAAGTCAAGTGGTGGCCTTCCCTGATGGTGCAGGCAGTTGAGTGCACCCGCAGCCTCTGCAGCGCTGGTTCGATTCCGGTCTGCCGCGAGGGTCCCACATGGCATGGCAGACCTCTCCTGTCTCGCCCGCTGCTCCCCTCAGCAGTGTATTTCGTCAGTCTGCCTGTTTTGCTCCCCTCTCTGGTGAATCCTCTCACCCTCCCGTGCATCTGGCCTGTACCCTGATTCTTGTATAAATAAATAAATAAATCTTAAAAAAAAAAAAAGTCAAGTGTCAAACATTCCTATCATTAATCTGGGCGATGGTTAAAAACCATGTTCACCTTGTGAAAAAATTCATTGAGATTTGCTTTTATGGATTGTGTGCATTTTTGAATTAAAAAATTATTTCACATCTATAGAATAAGTATGTTAATGGAATATAGCTAATATAGCTAGAGGATTAAATTAAAGGACCTTTGTATGTATGTACAATACATATGCCATTCAATAGCAGTGTCCAGAGCGCATTAATGCTCAATGAATGTTGTATATTATCTTAACTTAAAGGATAAGAATTAAAAAAATTCCTGTGGGGTGAAAGGAAAAGAACGGGGGTACATGTGGAAAATATTGGCCAGAGATTGATAATTTTTTTTTCTTTTTTCAGCCCCATCCCACCTTAAAGCTAATAGATTCTTGGAGATATTCCACTATTTTACTTATAAATAAAATATTAATAATAAAAAGGGAAGTAATGACTGCAAGCAAGGGGATCTTTTTTATTACAATGAGTTGTAGTAAAGTTTGGCAAAATTAATAAAATTCATTTTTGTAATAACATGCCTGGAAAGAGGGGCATTGACAAATATAAACCAACTTAGAATATGAGGCCTGTGAGCCTTTCATGAAATAAAAGCTAAAAAAACTCAGCAATCAAAAGTTAGAGCTCAGGACTGGAGAAACTGAAACAGAAGGGAAGGTGTTGACCTGAGGAGACAGGAGAGTGAACACTAAATAAGTAAACTACAGTTACCAAGCAGAATGTGAGCAGGAGAAAACTTGACATTGTAAAACTACCAGCTAATGCTGATGTTCTCAGTTTCTCAACAGGGAGTCAATCAATGTCTACAATGAAATATGGTTAATAAACAATGTTGCTGCAAGACCGCCAGACTGAGTTTTAGATTTTGTGAATCAACTCACAAGACACAAGAGGTTTATTTCTCCTGGGGCGGGGCGGGGCGGGAGA